CTGGATTTGCCATTACAATCACTGTTGTTGCTATGCACCTGTCTGTCTGTCTGTCTGTCTGCTCTGTCTGTCTCTCGTTCTGTCGTCTGTTCTGTTATTCCTCGTCCCTCTTTCCTCTTCTCTCCACACCCAACTGGTCAAGACAGACGACCACCCCACGCCTAGAGCCGAAGGCATCTGTCGCTAAGGTTTCTGCCTGTTAAAGGCAGTTTTTCCTTGCCTTGTCCGCCAAGGTCTTGCTCATTTGGTGGTACTGTTGGGTTTCCTGTAAATGCTTATAAAGAGTTCCGGTCCTAGACCTGCGTCTATTGTGAAAAGTGTCCTGAGCATCAACTTCCTGTTATGCGAATTGGCGCTATACAAGATAAAATTTAATTGAATTGAATTAATCCCTAGTTGAGGGGTGTAGGTGTCTCCAGGCGTCACAAAAGTCTTTGATAAAGGCCAATGTGGATCTGGCTGCTTAAGTCCTTGTCACTACAGTGATTGATGACCTATCCAAAACTGGGTCAAGGCAAAAGTTGAAACCTCCTCCCTATCAATATATTCCCAAGAAGCAGTCAGACCACTTTAAGAAATAATTGGTCTTGAATCAACAGGAGTGGGGATCCATGCGTAGTTTGGGGCGTACACATTTAGGAGTGTCCAAGTACATATTGCCTTGGATCAATACATATCCCCCAGCTGGATCAGAAATATATTTATCCATAGAGAAGGGTAGGTTCTTATGTAATAATATTACAGCTCCCCTTGCTTTTGAGTTAAATGAAGATGCATATACTTGCCCTACCCATTCCCTCCTTAACTTGTGATGCTCAGTTTTAGTAAGGTGGCTTTCCTGTATAAATGCTATCTCAGTTTTCAACTTTTTCAAGTAATCATATACTCTTTTCCTTTTAACTGGTCCATTCAACCCATTTACATTAAATGATGTGAATTTCACTACCTTAGCCATGTTGTTACTTTATGGCGATACTTGATAGATCGTTGGTAGCTTAGGCTTGGTTCATAAGGTAAATATTTGAGTTGAGATATTCAAATATTGTGCCAGGTAACACATTGATGATAGTCAAAAAAAGAAGAGAAAAAGGTAAGGCCCATCCCACAGAAAATAGAACAATATTAATTCCCACCCATAACAGCATTGCTTTTGAACAAAAACAGTGCAAGTCCTCATCTGTATAGAGTTGCGTGTCTGATATCCCCAAATGCAGACCTAACACTCCCACAAAGCTACATCGACAAACACCCAGTTCAGGGGTTAGCACCCTCACTCTTTCTGAACAAGTGGTCAAAAACAATTGTCAAATACAGGCGAAGTTGTAATAAAATAATATGGATCAGGTTAAGTGGCAGCATCTATATTATTAGCTGTAGCATCCAAAATACTCTCAATGACTATAATGAAAGGAAAATATAAGCAAAGTTATGACTACTGTGTAAAGATAGGTTACACTAACCAATGAAGAGTGTCCAGTGAAGATTAAATGTCCCAAGCCTCAGTAAACGCATCGCCAGCAGTAAACTTTTACTCAGGCTCGTCCTCACCTTCAGGATGCAGTTGCAATAAAGTTGCAGTAAAGCAGCGGCGCAGAGGACCCTCTCTCTGTCTTGGTACTTCAGAAATCTGATTATGATGGGTCTCGGTTTCTTGTCAGAGCCCAGAGTGGCGGGGAGCCAGTCAGTTTCTTCTGCATCATTGATGCGGTTTTCAGCCTGCATAACTCTCGTGACCAGACCGTTCATTGTTTTATCCAGCTTCGTGATTGCATTATTAATCTCCGTCAGCTTGGAATCAAGTTGGGTAGCAAGTTTTTGGTTTCCTTCCCGTATCTCTCTGAGAATGTGAGTTGAACTCTCACCTGAGTTCCCTCCTTCTTCGCCATGCTCGTCATGTTGGATGCTAGCCTGTGGATGGCTAGAGCTAGCCTTATCATTTTTCGCATCCATCATAAGTGCAGGACCAGCAAGGTAGTTTAGTTTCCCTTTGGATCTGGTATTCATGCACTTACTTGAAGTCGACTTTAGTTCACAGTTTGGGTAGTATAAGTCAGTAAAAGGATAATTTTAGCTAGGTGTTGTCGGGAGCTCTCAGAGGCACGTTTGTCTATCCTCGCTGTATCACGTGACTCCGAGTTTAAGATTAACTTTGCTGTGAGCACGATGATGGTTATTGATGATCATTTTAGGATTACATAAGTTGAACTGGCTTGATGTGCTGGTAAATATTTCTATAATGATTATTATGTTTTGGTTGTCAATCTAGGAACAACATGATGTAAACATGAGACGCAGTCTGGCCCTTCGTGCCCTCCCGGTGTACCTAAGAGAGGATGACTCTGAGTTCTTCAAGACCTGGAATGTAAGTATTTAGTGTACTCATAGAAATGTCAATATCAATGACATGTAACATGAAATATAGTATGGGAAACCAACTTTAAGGCCTCTTTTCAGGTTCAAATCGATGGATAGGTTGTTTTTTTTCCCAGTATAATGCTAAAATGTGGTATGTACAATGAAAGAAATCCACAGTTCTTGTTTCATGCAAATCTGTTTATGTAAGTGTATTTGAATCCAATATGAGTCTTCAGCTATCTGAGTTAGAAAGAATGTGTTGACATTGTTAATGATGCATGACTTTAAACCTTTCTACTGGAATTGTCCTCATAATAGGATTGTTTGTATTTTGCAGCAAGAAGATGAGCCAGACATTGCTGACACTCCTGTGGGTCTCCTTACTGTGGTCACTGACAACACAAGCCCCAAGAGCATTTCTATTGTCATCGAAGATGAAATTGTTGTGAATGATCTCCCTAGGTTGACTGATGTTAAGTTTTTAACTGTTCAGTGTTCTTAACTCCTGCTTTTAAAATAAATCAGGCTGTGACATTTTGTTTTATTTTCTCATCTTAATGGCATTGCTAGAGATTTGGGCTACAACTAATAGTTTTTATGGTTGTTTGGTCTATAAAATGTTGGGAAATGAAAAGGCGTATTACATTTCTTTTTACATATAAACATTTTGAGTGTATTTCCCACATTATATGAGTTGAAAAATATTGAACATTTTGAGTGAATTACTCCCTAATTATTGAGGAATATCAATATTTATAAGATAACATTGAGATAATTTAAGGCAACTGTAAATGTAATTTCTATTTTTTGTAAACTTAAAACATTTAAAAACATCACTAAAATATTTTTGTGTAATCTGTTACAAAATAATTTTTGAGTTCTGTGAACTTATTAGGGTTTACAGTGCAGGAAGTCATGTTCCTTGAACTCACCTGCTCACCAGAGATCAAGTGCGTGCTTGCAGGTTGTACATCTTTTTTTTTGGAACAAATCTTTCCAAAGGAATTTCATTGTTATAATTTCCTCGTTGTCTACCACCTAGAGGAAAGAGACCGTTTGCAAGTCTACGGGTTTTCACTACCACTAATTTTTTTTGCTCCATTAAGTACTTCAATAGTAAACTTGTACACCTTGTGGCTGGGTTTAGTGTTATTATCTTGAGGATCCTTCGCAAGTCACGCCTTCAGGCTGCCGAAATACAGAAACCAAATCTTTTTGTTTCGGCTTATGTAAAAAAAACAATGACGTTCCACGGGAAAAAAACAACAAAAAGACAAACATCAACAAACTTTGATGTTTTTGCATCCTTGAGCCCATCAGACAATTAAAGGTCTGAGGTAGAAATGTTGAGTTCAACAAGTACTTGAGCATTTTACTTCAATAACAAACATTTCTAATATGGTTTAAAAAGCTCTAAACCCACTACTGTGTTTCTCTTACCACCACCCGCAGCATCTTCATGATTCCGTCAATGAGCGATGAGTCTTTAACAGCTGCTTTGACCTCAATGCCATATTGTCCTTCCTTCATGGGAATAATGATGAAGGGTACAGATCGTGTAGTTAGGGACCCAACTTTAACCTCCTGACGATACTTTCCACGCTTGAATGCTGAGCTGCACACATGCTCCTCCTCAATCAGATCCACACGCACCTTGAAACAGGTAAAGAGGGAAAAATGAAGACTTGACATTTAGATGTTGACAAATTAAAGGAAACATATGAATGAATAAAGGTGAGGGAAATTGTCCAATGCAGATGTTTCCAGGGTACATAGGGGGTCAACCCAATTTAACACCTATGGAGATTTTGAATGGACGCATTATGACAGCACTCTCCACCACCACCATCAAAACATACACACGAAATTCAAGCATAAGGATCAAAATGGTCAGTTTAATGTAAATCACTAATGACACATGCGTATTTAAAAAGATGTATTATTTGGATCATCGCCTCTCTCTGCCCCCCTTTCATGTCTGTCTTCAGCTGTCACTATCAAATAAAGGCAATAAAAGCCAGAAAAATACTTTAAAACAGAAAAAAACTTTTCCCAAATGCGACTAGTGACTACATTGACAACTGTGTTTCTGTAAATAATCTGTTTATTTAATCCATCTGTTCAGCACCTTTGCATAGTGTCTCCAGCTACTGTATAGTGAAGGTTGTCAGATATGGTTGGTGAACACAGGTTTTGGTGGTAATTTGAACAGAACAAAGCTAGCTGTTCCCCGCTGCCTCCAACTCTTTTGCTAAGCTAGGCTAACTATATTTCTGTTCTTCACAAAATTTTGGAAAAAATACAAATAATGATATTTTCCAAAAGATTGAACTATACCTCTCAAGGGAAGATTGTAAGTATGAGGCTGATGATACTTCTGATTTAATTTTTTGAATGTCACAGTTTGCATTGGTCAGTTTATCTGGCATTATTTAAATTAAAACTGCACTGCACATTTGCAAAGTACTATTTTTGTAGTAAAGCTTACCATCTGTCCTTGAACACAAGAGCTAAATAATCCAGACTCACAGTGACAGTATCTGGGCTGTAGTTGTGGAGGATAGCCTTAATTTCCAGCTGCTCTCCACGAACAGCAGAGTACGGCAGTTTGAGATCAATGAAGAAATCCTTCCGGACAATGACCTCTAATGGATCGGCCACACAGATACCTTAAAGTCAGGAGGAAAAATAAACATGACAGAAAACTAAAGGATGAGAATGAGGGGAAGAAGAAGATAAAAGTTTAAAATCTGAATCTTTATTAACTGACAAACTCTCCAGATATCAAAATCCTCCTCCAGAACCTGACAAATTAAAGATGTTACATCTGCCCCTGGGACATTATCTTCTGTTCCTCTTCAAACCTGATGTCACTGTTGGAGCACCTCTCTCCCTGTGTGTGTCTCTTTGTGTGTGTGTTTGCCTGCAGCTGCATCTCATCACCATAATATATACAACACAAGACTGGGACAGAATCAAACCAAAAACAAACAACACTGTTATCTGCTCAAAGAAATCCCTTATAATCACAATAAATGTAAAGAAAAGTCAAGTCGTAAAGAGAAACCGAATCCTCACCGTGAGTTCTTGACAGACTAACGCCAATGATCTGCCAGGTTGTGATTGAGTCTTGCAAAGGAACATTTTTCACAACTGATGTGGTGTCACTGAAACAAAGAAATGTGTGATCAGTTTCAGTGATAAAAGAACTTGTGAGAAATTTTAGTGGTGCCATGATGTTTTGTATATTTCTGTTGACTCACCAGTTCGGTGTTTGTCGAGGGCAAGCAGGCAGTTTGATATCTGACCACAGCCAACTTTCAGGGAATGTGGTGCGAGAAACTATTTCATTGCTGTCCATGTAACTCTTTTTTTTTTTTTTTGGCGCTGTCCATGTAACTGTTGTCATCCTCACCTAAAGTGTAATTACAAAAGGTTACAATTTTGATTTATTTCTTACCACCAGCATGACCACCCAGGGTTCTCCCCATCCTTTTTATTGATCCAGACATGAAGAAAATGGCTAAAGAAATGATGTAAAAAAAAAAAACTAAAAAAAACTTGATTGATGATTTTTATGAGCTGATGGCATCGCTTTACTTACAGAAAATGGTTTTAGCATGGAAGCAGTCTGTGTCACAAAAGTTAAGAGCTGCTATAACCTGTATATGTACTTATTTAGAAATATTCATATTTTTTGTTTGCACTTAAAAATTAAAATCACTTGTGCTTCTTAAAATTCAGTATGAATCATCTACTACCTGCTGCCACATATCATTTCATAGATGCATATTTTAAATGTCAGATATCCTCAAAACATTTGTTATATCCTGTACTGTAATGCAGAGGTTCAGTGAACATGTCGTTATCAGGTCATTTGAGCTATGATTCTTACTTCTGACATTCCTTATAGTGCCGGCTCGTTTTCTCCTGCTGGGGGATGGACACTTTAATTCTGGAATGAAAACAAAAACAAAAGACTATTTCCTAAACCGAATGGTTTCTGTGATACTTAAAATAATGAACAAGTCATCTGACACAGTAGACACAGTAATGTCATGACACTAGTCATCCATGGTCCAAAGTGTTGTGTGTAGAGATGTGACAACACCGTTGTCATTCCACCAATTTTAAAGTCCCTGCAGTGGCAACCTGTTTGCTTTAGAATCAATTTTAGGATCCTTTCATTGGTTTGAAAAGCTCTTAATGGTCTTAGTCCTACTTTTTCACCAGCCTCTATGACCCTACCTTTAGATAGTGGCCTTTTAATTATCCCTGAAGTCAGAACAAAGACCCACAGTGAGGCATCCTTTTATCACTATGTCCACGTCTATTTTTACTACTTTTTTAGTATTTAATTGATTCTAATTTATTTATCTATTTGTTTATCTATTTATGTTTTTATTTCTATTTTATTTATTTTCTATTTATAATGTTATTATCATTTATTTAATTTTTTATGACAGAACATAATTCCTTGCACTTGCAATGTGCCACTAGTTTCCATGAAACCAGTAGTTTACTACAAGTTGTCAATCCTAACCTGAATGACGCTGCATTTCTGTCACATTTGGGAGCTGTACAACATTTTCTGAGGGCCAATATTACGCCTGAGGTCCACACTTTGAGAGATTATGCTACAGAGTGACTAATAAATGCTTGCTAGTGGCAAACATGGAGAGGACACAAGCAAGCCTCCACAATGTTACAATAATACTCATTAAAATTACTTTTCTTTATCATTTCAGCAGCACATTCTGTAAAAATAAAGAAAATGTTTGAGACAACTGAAAACAACTTAACTAGTAATTAGTTTAACCATAATTACACATTCTGATTGCAATACTTTTCATTACAAGACTAAAGAGGAGTACAGTTGGTGGAGTGTTTGCTTATTTGACATGTGACTAAAAGACATTTAGTTGTGTGGCTGCCACTTGCTGGCCCTTACATCCCTTAGAGATACTATAGATAATGATGAGCAGTAAACTGGAGAGTGAAGTAGTATCACCTTGTCTGATGGGAGTGCCAGATGCACTGGACTCGAACAACAGCCCAGCATCATAGAACACACTCATGCTGTCCTTCCCTCCACCTGGTGTGCAGCCTGTGTCATACTTCTCTACAATGTCCCACACCTGAGCAAAGTGGAAGTCATTCACACACAGAAATACAAACTTAAACTTGACTAAACCAGAGCCTGTTCATTGATGAATCTTAAGGGAGAGGGCGGTCTGGAACACACAAATTTCCAGAAATGGGCTGTAATGGTGAGAAATCCAGTGGAAGCAGGATTAAGGAAACAGTCCTGCGCAGGGCTCTGCTGCACACAGAAAGGCCAAATTCAACCAGTGGGCTAAAACAACATTGTCACCTAAGTCAATGGGGACAGGTTAAACTTTCCGCTATTTTCTGTAACGTATAATGTTACAATGTCGGATGTTCATATTACACATTAACATATAATTTTTGTGTGCCACATTGCTATTGTCCAAGGTAAGTTATAGCTGTTAGACTTTGTCAATCACACCGACAGCAGAATGAAGCGGTGCTCACAAGCATTTGGTGTTGACCCTCGAGAGGCTTTCGGGAAGTTGGTCAATGAGAATAAAGTGGCCTTTTAGGGAGTGTTGTATTAAAGACAGCGGAAACTAAAAATGACTTGGTTTCAGACAGAGAATGAGGGGCTCTATATACGTTTTTTTTTTGGAACTGTTGAATCATGCAAACTACTCTGCTAAAATGCCAAGAAAAAGAATATAAAGTAAAAATTTTTTAAATGAACATTCTTTCAAAATATTTTAACTAGGAGAAGGTATAAGAAATGACCCTTTTTCTGTGTGAGGCGGTGCTTGTTGTTTAGGACGTAGACCCCTTTGTCAACTGCCACCAGACCCACTGTGGCTTCTGGGTCTCCAGTGACCTTCAGACCAAACATCCTGCGAGGTTCATACGATAGAATGCGTCTCGATGGTTCCAGCTTCAACTAAAATTCCGCATCTTAGCCTACTACCATACAAAATGACAATGAAGTGAGTATCAGACTCTGTGTGGTAGATGTCAAGGACTCCTGCATGGGCTCGTTGAGACAGACAACAACTGATGTAGCAGAGTCAGGAAGTTACAAATATGCTTTATTTTATTTTAATTTGAATTACTTTAGAAAATACAAATCCCTCTTCCTTCCTCTTTTAGTTGAAGCTGGAACCATCGAGACGCATTTTAGTCGTATGAACCTCGCAGGATTGTTTGGTCTGAAGGTCACTGGAGACCCAGAAGCCACAGTGGGTCTGTGGCCAGTTGGACCAAAAAAAAGGGGTCTACGTCTAAACAACAAAGCACCGCCTCACACAGGAAAAAGGGTCATTTCTTATACCTTCTCCTAGTTAAAATATTTTGAAAGAATGTTCATTTAAAAAATTTTTACTTTATATTCTTTTTCTTGGCATTTTAGCAGAGTAGTTTGCATGATTCAACAGTTCCAAAAAAAAAACGTATATAGAGCCCCTCATTCTCTGTCTGAAACCAAGTCATTTTTAGTTTCCGCTGTCTTTAATTACAACACTCCCTAAAAGGCACTTTATTCTCATTTGACCAAACTTCCCGAAAGCCTCTCGAGGTCAACACCCAAATGCTTTGTGACACCGCTTCATTCTGCTGTCGGTGTGGATTGACAAAAGTCTAACAGATAACTTACCTTTTGGACAAATAGCAATGTGGCACACAAAAATATATGGTTAATGTGTAAATATGAACATCCGACATTGTAACATATACGTTACAGAAAATAGCGGAAAGTTAACCTGTCCCCATTGACTTAGGTGACAATGTTGTTTTAGGCCCCACTGGTTGGAATTTGCCTTTCTTGTGCAGCAGAGCCTCCTGCGCAGGACTGTTTCCTTAATTCCTGGCTTCCACTGGATTTCTCACCACTTACAGGCCCCTTCTGGAAATTTGGTGTGTTCCAGACCGCCCTCCCTTAAGATTCATCAATGAACAGGCTCTCGGTATTAGTCAAGTTAAGTTTTATTTCTGTGTGTTTTAATGACATATCTCTCC